AAAGTTCGAGACCAAGACAAAATAAAGGTCTGTAGAGGTCAAGACAAAGACAAGTCCAACACCTTCAAAGTTAGAAGACCAAGAAAAAACCAAGACCTTTAGAAGTCGAGAACAAGACCGGGCCAAGGCCCGTAGAGGCCTAGAAAAAGACAAGGTCAGCAACTTCAAAGTTCGCGACCAAGACAAAATTAACACATTTAGAGGTCGAGACCAAGACCAAGCCAAAACCTGTAGAGGTCAAGACGAAGACAAGGCCAACACTTTCAAAGTTCGAGATCATGACAAAATCAACACATTTAGAGATCGAGACCAATACCAGGCCAAGAGCTGTAGAGGGCAAGACAAAGACAAGGCCAACACCTTAAAAGTTTGACACCAAGGTAAAATCAAGATCTTTAGAGGCCGAGACCAAGACCAGGCCAAGACCTGTAGAAGCCTAGACAAAGACAAGCTCAACAACTTTAAAGTTTGAGACCAAGGCAAAATCAAAGTCTTTAGAGCTTAGAGAGCAAGATCAGGCCAAGACCCTTAGAGGTCTAGACAGAGACAAGGCCAACACCTTCAAAGTTCGAGACCAAGACAATATCAACACATTTAGAGATCAAGCCCAATACCAGTCCAAGACCTGTAGAGGCCAAGACAAAGACAAGGCCAGCACCTTCAAAGTTTGAGACCAAGACAAAATCAACACATTTAGAGATCGAGACGAACACCAGGTCATGACCTGTAGAGGCCAAGACAAAGACCAGGCCACCACCTTCAAAGTTCGAGACCTAGACAGAAACAAGATATTTAGAGACTTAGGCCAAGACGAAGCCAAGGTCTGTAGAGGCCAAGACAAAGACAAGGCCAACACCTTAAAATTTTGAGACCAAGGTAAAATTAAGATCTTTAGAGGTCGAGACCAAGATCAGGCCAAGACCCTTAGAGGTCTAGACAAAGACAAGGCCAACACCTTCAAAGTTCGAGACCAAGACAATATAAACACATTTAGAGATCAAGACCAATACCAGGCCAAGACCTGTAGAGGCCAAGACAAAGACAAGGCCAGCACCTTCAAAGTTTGAGATCAAGACAAAATCAAAACATTTAGAGATCGAGACGAACACCAGGCCAAGACATGTAGAGGCCAAGACAAAGACAAGGTCAACATCTTCAAAGTTCGAAACCAAGACAAAATCAAGACCTTTACAAGTCGAGACCAATACCAGGCCAAGACCTGTAGAGGCCTAGACCAACACAAGGCCAACACCTTCAAAAGTTGAGACCAAGACAACGACAAGACATTTAGAGGTTAATACCAATACCAGGCCAAGACCTGTAGAGGCCAAGACAAAGACAAGGCCAGCACCTTCAAA